GGCTTGAAAATTTTAGAATGTCTCACCAGCCAGTCAAAAATTTCACCAGTCAGCATGACCGGACTATAGCCTCGCAATTTATGTTAATAAATTTAAACTAGGGGCTGGTTCACTTTTATTTCTACGTAACAATGTGCACAAACCCAAAATAAATTGTATTACGTACATGGTATTCGCCTATGCCTCCTTAGTAGAAAATGCACTGCTGTCAGAGGTGTTGCACTTATGTCCTTGAACATGCCTGGTTAAAGTACCATTTATCTATGGCTTTAGTAGGGTTAAATTGTGCTAGTGGAGGTCCATTTAGATTCACCATCATAAGGTCATCTAAGCTTTCGGTCTCTAAACACGATCTGAATTTATTTTTGATCAGATTCATCTGGCTGAAGCCCCTTTCACAGCTAACTGTAGAAACTGGGAGGACAGAGGCAATTTTAAGGAGCTTCAGAAGAACAGGAAATCTAGCCCCATGGTGGCTCATTGCCTTTCCCAGTAAATCCACGGATGACAGACCCTTTGCACATATTTTGAATTCATACCATTCATCCAGGGCTTTCTGAATTATGTCCTCTTTGCCCTTGTGTTGCAAAAGGTCCTTGTAATGAGATACAAGTACAGTTACTTCCTTTTTACCAAAACTTTCCAAGGACATTCCTGGCCATGTGGAAGTATCAAATATTGACATAGATGTTAAGAGGCCATCTGGAGCAGTGTTCAAAAAGCGATTTTTTACATCAACCAGTCCCATCTCGATAATGTCTTTTCTATCACATTCAAACTTTTTTTGTCCGTTGGTAATTTCATCAAGTTGGATTTCATTGTACATCCCAGTCACTGAAGTATTATTTATAAATTCATTCTCCATAGGTCCTGGAGTTTTTTCCAGTTCTTCAAGACTGGCTATTGTTTCCTTGATATGAATATGCACTTGATTGATTAGCTGATCAGGTTTCTGAAAAATCAAAGACAGCTTTTTCAAAGGCAACAAAAAATCATGGAGAAAATGCAAGGTTCTTAAGAACCTGTACTTCTTAAGGGTCTTCAGAATGCCTTTAGCTTTGTTGCTGTCGCTCCCCTTCCCACCGCTCACGTTTTCAAGGTGTGTCACCACAGATCTCCAGTCTTGAATGACAGCTTTGATGGTCCCCACTTTGCTGGCAACCCAACGCACTGCATGCAATTTCTGCAATTTCAGCAGTTTTGTTGGCAAAACGTCTGCAGTTTCTGACAACTGCTTTTGCTTTTCACTGGACCTGTTGTAAAATTTGTAGACAGCAATCAGGCAATGATCAATTTCATCAATATAGGACCGCTGTTTCTGACAACTGCTTTTGCTTTTCGCTGGACCTGTTGTAGAATTTGTAGACAGAAATTAAGCAATGATCAATTTCCTCAATATAGGACACTCCTTTAAGCGACTTCAGCACACTTAACTGAAGCTTGTGTGCAACCCAATGAACGGTTACGATATGATTTGCACAATTGGTCATTTCAGTTGCCAAACCATTAACACCCCCTATCGTCGAAGATGCTCCATCAGTTGCCAGGCCAACTAAACATTTTCCATGTCTCCAATCCAAATTCACTCTTTGGAGTTCCTTGTCGATAGTGTCTAGGTAGCCGGAAGCAGTGTTATTTGCTAAAGGAGCAATAGCTAAATAGGATTCCTTGACACCACTAGCCTTTATATACCTAATATAAATGATGCATTCCTCCAGGTCAGATCTATCGGTGGAAACATCTAGTAACACAGAAACAAATTCTGAGGCTTTTATGTTGGCCAGAACATCTTCTTTCACACTTTGTGCAATGTAATGTATAAACTCCTTACACTGTTTATCGTTGGTATATTCTTCTAGCACTTCCGCATTAAGTTTACCAAAAAGTTCTGCAAGACCTCCAAGGTCGGTAAAGGGCTTTTTGTTTTTGGCAATATAAAAACTTATATTAAATAATACTTCTAAATGAGAGAATATTTTTTCATCCATCCCTTTTGGACGCTTTGCGAAGGAAGACTTTCCTGACTGTTCTCGAACATTTAATGCTTCCACGCATCTCATGTGCGGCGCTGACAAATTGTGAAACTTGAAAGTCTCGTGACGAAACGGTTGCTGGAATCCATGAACCACACGTGAAGACGAATCGCACAATCTTTTGAACTGTGGACATACGGAACATCTTGCAACACCACTCTCAACGTTATACTCCAGCCATTTAAACTCCTCCGTCCACTTTAACAAAAATTTCCTCTTCCCACTTTTTCGACTCTTAACCGCAGACCCAGCACTAGAAACACATGGTGAATGTGGGGCACCTTGTACCGTAGGGTTTTCATTGTTCTCCGATTCTGACATAGGAGACTGTTTTTGAAAAAAATTGAACAGATTTTTTTTTTGCGCCACTTCTTTACTCCTCACAAACGAGCAGACCACTGACAGGATTCACCAGGCCAGGAGTTTCTACTTAGGACAGAGTAATTTTGGAAGCTTCGTGTTCCCTGTTTTACTTCTGTGTTGCCAGTTGTATTCATGCAGCGGTACA